GTTGAGAGGGAGGATCATGTATCTCGAGAGGGGTAAGACTTAATGAAGATTTTACTTGTTATTAAGATTTAACTTTTTTATAAAACTTGCCCCTACCCTCAAAATTAAAGTTTTTTGCCATTTTATAGTAATTAAAAATATAAAAAGTTTTCCTCATATCCTTCATTTAACTTCTTGTTTGGATTTGTATTAAAATTAGATTGTTGAAATGACATTTTAATAAAAAATTTTTATAACAAAATTTGATAACAGATGGCACCGTACAGAATTTAATTTTTTGCTAATAATATAAAAGATTTTAAGTCTTAATAATAACAGCTGGAAAAGTTATGCAACTCATTGCTAGATTTTTTTTTTGCAATCAGTTGTTTCATATAGTCAGAGTTTGATTTGACTAATTCTCATATATTGTTCTTTTAATTATATTAGGATTTCATTAAAACATATTTCAAAAGAAAAAATTTCTTCTAATGCTACATATTTTATGAAATATGGGGAATNGCAATATACTAATTACATGGGATATAATAATATACTACACTAATAATGGATTTTTTCATACTTTTCGGTTATCCAACTTTTCAATTATCCGACCAACCCCAGTCCCCAATTGAGTCGGATAATTGATGCTCTACTGTAATTAAAAAGTTGGAGAAGCAATAGCATATGTGCATAGTAAGTCAAATACTGTTTTATTTTGTCAATGTATCATACTGTAAGGTACATTAAGGTCAAGAAATTTGTACAAAGTTGGTCAGAGGGCGTCATGGAATTTAAAACAAAAATTTGAGTAGGAACCCTGTGTATACAAATTTTCAATCTGGTCTGAAGCCACATGATTTATTTTTAAATTAAAGGATGATGAAAAATTACAGCCCAGCATTGTGACAATGTCACAATAAATAATTTCTTGTCAAATCTTAAAATTTGTATTATTGATGGTAATTGTCTGACATACATTGATGTAGGAGTAATATTTCTAATTTTATAAAGTTTAAAAATTTAAAGATGTGTATAAATATTTGCATTGTTTAATTTATATTCTTATATATTAGATTTATACAATAGTACAGCAAGTCCTCACTTAATATCATTGTTAAATTCTTGGAAACTGACATTAAGCAAAATGACATATGACAAAACCAATTTTTACCACAGTTAAATGATATAAACAAAAGTTCTTATGGCACATTTCTGGTCACAAAAACATCAAACTTTTAAATAAAGACAAAATACCTCTCATATGAAAGATTGAAATAAACATGAGCAATAACTATCATATTTAAGAAAGATAAATGAAAACATCATAATTTTGAGAATCAATGAGCAACATGATGGTAAGTGGTATGAGTTGTCAATCCCAATGAATTAGAGAACAATGTATTAACTTAAAATGGCAAATGCAAAAAGGGTGCATTTGTNGTTTATTATCTGATAAATGTATACTTTTTTCGTCAATTGTTTACGATTGCAGATGCCTTTTGTGTAAAATCCAAGTCAGATGTATGTAAGCTAATAAATGTTCTCGTTAATCTTATCTCGCCTTTTGGTTCGTTCACGGTTACAAGAAATCTCCACATAGAGTCTCTCAAGTCTCCGTAGATATAACAAACAGAAATAAATTACACAAAATAAATTGTAGTGTGAGGACCACCACCCCCCTTTAAAAATATCTATATATACATATATATATATTCGTAAACTGTTATTTGTAATAATTTTTGTCTATTTTACTTATATCTTTTTTTATTATGTATTTGTGCAAACCTTAACCAAAGTTGTAAGAAATTTGCCTATTTTACCAATCTAGGGACACCCCTTTTCCAAATTTAAAATCTACTTAAATTAATTAGAATAAGACAGTTTATTAATTAGCTATCAGAAATCTCACAACATGCCAAAGGAAAGAGGAAAAAGCAGCCAAATAATCAAAAATTATGAAAGATATATATAGAAATGAGGAACATTGCATCTCCCTTTGTTTTCGGCAATGTTTACATGAAGAACTTAGTCAAAGCAAGCAATGAACAAACAATGACCAAGAACAAAGATGAGTCATGTCGACTCAGAAGATGACTCTAAGAAAGCTGCAAGTCATCACCAGATAAGAAAACACTGTCTCAGCTACAATGATGACACTGCCAATGAGTCATCACCCGATGATGATTTTCTCATGCTGAAAGGGTTTAAAAGGAAAGCCCCAACAAGAGAAGGAGGAGTTCAGTTAGAGATGGGGACACAGTGAGTTAGAAAAAGTTCAGTCGGAGAGGAGGCACAGGCCAATTAGAAGAAGGCAGTCAAAAAGGAGAGACAGCTCCAGTCAGAAAAAGGCAGTCAGAGTGAGGACACAGTCCAGTTAGAAAGACAGTTAGGAGACAGTGAGCTAGTCAGTAATTGTGGACACAGCTCCAACCAGAGGAAATGTGGCTTAAGAGAAGACAACTCAAAAACGAGCAAGAACCAGACGAAGTGCAGTGAACACCAGAAACCTCCGCAGTCTTGGCCGTCAAGTCAATGTCACAAGAGAAGACATCTTGTTTATCTGGTATGTTGTGAGTCGCGTAAGTTCGAAATACCCTCGTTAGGTACCCCCCTCGTTGAATAGATAAGAATAGGCAAATTTCCAAAATCGGTTTTTATAACTCTGTTCTAAACTTTTGTTTATGTTAATAAATGTCCTTAAATTGGTTATATCTGACTCTGCATTCTTCCTCCTGAGAGGCTCATTCCTGGACTTCAGAGTGACTCTTACCCTCGCGCCTTAATCATCCATTTCATCACAAACGGTGGTGTGTCCGATAAAACACACCTGGTGGCAGGACTCTATTTAAAAAAGTACGTAATAAACCTTTTACGGCCCCCGAACTCCACAGTAGCTATGCGTCGATTCCGCGCGACACGTCCAAACATGTAAGCCGAACAATAGTGTGGGGAGAGTGAGTAATCAAGGGTTGCGTGGCGCTCAAACAAAAGACGAATCGATGAGATTTGAAAATTGCGTAACTCCGGGTTCGCGTAAGTCGGGGTATGACTGTATTATATTTTTATTCCACTTTAATAAAAACAAGTAAAACAGTGAAGCCATTCTTGGGATGAGACTGTCTCGGAGAGCGTGAGCAACGCATGCACAAATCTTGCACTTGCGCCTGTTTGTAGAAACAGTCTTAGCATTTTGTATTTTATTTTGACCCTGTTATCCATTTCCTGACTACATACAAGTCTGGTTTTTTTATGTGTGCATGATTTGGACACACAAAAATACTCTTTGCCAAATTGCACCTCCTGACATGTACTCCTTCATACCTCGAAGGTGTGCAGCCGTTGACGACAGCTCAATTTTAGAGATGAGACAGTCTTGTCAAATATTGCCAAGCGGTGATTTTGGCACTGTGCAGCCTGACCTTTGATTATTCAGTTACAGTTATCATTATTTTTAGGTAAATATACCTATTTAAGCTTATGGTGTTTTTAAGCTGTTTTTTTTTTCTACTATCGGTTATAACATATGTTTAGTAACACAGTCATTATCATTTATCAATTTATTATCAGTATTAGACAATACTTTAAATATTTAATGCTAATTGTTTTAATCATTATTTACTTGCAGAACAGTAGATTAAATTGCTGACATTTTAATTGCCCTTTTTTTTCAATTAAATTTAAATTGCCCTTTTATTTCAATTATACATTATCTGTTATTAAAGACAGTAAAAATCAGCACACAAACAATGGATGACTTACTTTTAAGTAAGAATAATAATTATAATTAAAAAAATTTCAAGTTTGACATATTCTAATGTATTTTAATTTCAGTCAATGAAACTAGAATATCCACTAATTTTTGTTTTATTTATTTACCCTACTTATCAATAACCAAATGATAACTTTATTAGTATAGACAAGTGATTACAATAAACAGATTCTATTGTAATTACAAAAAAGCAGCAGTCTTTAGTGATAACTGTATAATTGGTAGCTTTTCATTCTGTATCAACTTATCTTGATCTGAATTTATTATATTTAATTTATTTCTATTTATTGTATATATTGGATTATTAATTGACACACTGACTGCCATAATGATAAAAATTTCTGCAGTCTCTGAGGCTGGGCTTTTTTATTCGTTTACTATTTATAGAAATATAATAGGTTAACAACAGTCATATTGAATATAGCAGTTTTTTTTTTTAAACAAGATTTTGATATGTGAAGCAAGTATGCCTTACATTGCCTAAATAAGATAATTTTCATGTTGGTGCCATGTGGTGCACATGTGCCTTGCAGTTGTGCACCTCTGAACCTGAATATTCTACTAAAAAGCTTTCATTGTACACTACATATTTGTTCAAGTTTGTGTTGTTAATTCGTATCGGTAACTACAGGCATCTAAAAGCAAGTGAAAAATGTGTGATTGTTAAAATGAACAAACTTGTTTGAAAGCATTGCTGAATGATATTTTGTCAATCAAGAAACTTTTGAAAGTTTGTCTGAAAGTTACAAAGGTGGGCCAACACAAATAATATGTTCACTAGGCTGCCTACTTTAGTTCCACAAAGCATTTCTATTCTAATGTGATGCAATTGTGTGTGACTTGATTTGGAGTAAAATACTAGATGTGAGACATGTGCAATGTAACCTGATCAGTTATGAGCACTGCAAGTCACACATGCTTTACGTGGTGGTCAATGTGTTAATTTGATATCTGATTACTAGAAAGTGATTATGATTTTATTAAAATTTGCTTATTGTAAATAATTTAAGCAAAAGAGAAAAAGTAATGAAATAATTTTCATCATTCAAAAGGAAGTTAAACTGAAATAGAAATTGTCTCTGTTCAGAATAATTTTATCTATAATTGTAATTTGGATATTTTGTTATAGTAGTAACAATAGAATAAGCTGAAGTAGTAAAGTAATTTGATTAAGTTTCTTAAAGTAAAGCAATAATAAAATAATTTATAAAAATACTTCAGAAAGAATATTTATAAATGTTTGAAATCATAAAAATAATATAAATTTCAGGTAAAAGTAAACGTCGTGTCAAAGGTAAAACTCTAGATTTGAACAGTTTTCTTGCAAATGAACAAGATGCTCCTAGTGGATTTGCTGTGGTTAATACCCATTATGACTGGGGAGATGTTATGGAAGATGCACCTGTTGATGGTGAGATAAAAGATTTGTACAATATTTTGTTTTAATGTTTGTTTTACTATCAAAGAAGTTATTTTTATAATATTTTAAATATTTTAAATTTAGATAAATTTACCCTTGATTATAAGAAAGATTCAAGAATATTTTTACCAACTGCACCAAAAGCTGCTCGAGGGCCTGATATTGATATGAGCAGAATTCCTACAAAACCACCATTTACAGCATATGTAGGCAATCTTCCATATGATGTTAATGAAGAAGATATTATTAAATTTTTCCGACAGTTAAAGGTAAGAAACTTATTTAAATTAATTTGGAACTTAGATTATTTGTTTATTATTACAAATATTTCATATTTATTTTCATTTATTATTTACATCATGGGCATCATGATATAGCTTCTTTCAGATGTCCAAATGTTAATAGCAATTGAAAAGATAAAAAGAACAAAATATTCATGACATAAATAAGTATTTAAATCACAGCTCTATACAATGACTGCAGAGGATTGTAAATTTTATGTAATAGTGTTTAGTCTATAGCTATTTTGTTCCTTTATTTCTAAACAGGCGGTGTTCCATATTCTTATTGTAGAAAAGGTTATTGAATGTTGTCCCACAGAATGTTTAAGGTTTGGAATTATAGTCTCTCTACTTTCTTGAAGGTTTTTTTTATTAAGTTGTTCATATATATTATATAATTGGTAAAAATTATGTTGATATGTCTTTGTTAAACAATATTTTACCGTGACTAAAATATTTTGTTTTACGTTATTTATTTTTGTTATTGTATGTAGATGATACAGAGGTGTGTTTAGCAATGTTGATGCAAGTTCTAATAAAATTATTTTGAGATACTTGGTCTAAGTATAATATAATTACAAGTATTTCTTCATGTTATTATTCCATATCAAATTTTTGGTTCTGTTATGGCTCTGTTTGTAGGATTGTTTCAGTATTTAAATAGGTTTTTCACTTGCTTATTATGCTAATAAATTAACTTTTTTTTTTTTTCTTATCTTAATAATATGGAGACTCTAGCCTTTTGGCTTTTTCTCTGAATCACTCCTCTTAGAAATTAGGCAAAGTGGTTGGTGCGGTGAACAAAACACTCCAAGATTTTGATATATTGGTGAGGAGAAGAGTCAATATGAGGCCAGTATATCGGAGTTAAGGTATGGACAATCGTAAGGTCCAAGGTTAAGAGATGGCCTAGCTCTTGGTGGGCCCATCTGTATTGCGGGCAGACAAGCCAATAGTGGATGGAAGTTTCTGGTGGGACAATAACAATAAATCTAATAAATTAGATTTATTGTTATTGTCATTTATTGTTATTATATTATTATTATTATATTATTATATATTATTGTTATTGTTATTAACAATAAATCTAATAAATTAGATTTATTGTTATTGTTGTCTAAAAATGTTGTTTATGTTAATGGCTGAACAATGTAAGTCCCAAATATTTATGAAATCAGTTTTCATTATTTCAATCTTATCTGTAAATAAATAAATATTTTTAACATGTTTCATAGCTTCTTTTTAATGAAAATCACATAGCAAGTTTTACATAGTTGATAGTTAGTTTATTAATTTTTGTTTAAGAGTTTAAAAATGATAGAATGAATAGAAATGGGTGATAGGAAATTTAGATAACTAAAATTTAATTTAATTTTTTTATCTATTTATGTTTACTAAACCATAATTTAATAGTTTGTTGTTTGAAAATCTATATTATGATAGAAGTTTGTTGCTAGATTACAGGACTTTTTTGTATTTTTGCAAAATTTGATAAGTTCTATGCAATCTGTACATTGCAAATGTTACTGTATATTTTGTTTTGTATTAGTTTATGTTGCTCTATGCTTCTTCTGATTTGTTTATTTATGCTTTTTACTCAGTCTAAAGATGATACAGTGTATGACTATACTGTTTTTCAATTAGTCTTAGTCATTGATTGAAAAACCTGAAAAAATGTTGATCATATTACTGCTGAGGGGTCTTTAGCACACCTCATGTCCAAACAAATTCTGATTCATGTTGCATAATTGTGTATTATTGGTTACTTCTCAGAGGATAACTAATTAATGGGTATTAAATTAATAAACTTTGACTGTGTTTACAGTAATCTGACACAATTAAATTGTAATTAGGAATTTAAAATTTACAAAAAAAAATGATAAAAATTTGTAAATTTTTAATATTACTGTAATTATGAATATACAAAAAACATTTTTGTTTTATTATTCCTTTCCAATATTCACACCAGTGATAGTCCGAAATAAAATTTTCACATACAGAGGTGAACTTTTCTTTCAAGCTTCACCTCCACAATAGAATGCAAATGGAAACAGCGTCCTCTGGTAATTTTGTCAATATCACAAAATAATACATAAAGTAAAAATTTAAAATTTGGCCAATGATATTTAATTTAAAAAAAATAAAATTATCATGAATATCCAAAGAAAGGAATATGAAAGCAAGAATTTTTTCTTTGTATATTCGTGACATTTTTATATTTAAAAAAAAAATTAAATACTGTTGGCTAAGTTTTAAATTTTTACTTTATGTATTACTGTAATTGATAAGAAATCGATTAAAAAAAACTATAGAACAAATTTCAATTGTTTTAGATATACTTTATTGTTAGATATTGATATAGATATAATTATTGTTAAAAGAACAGAAAAATTATGATTTATAGGTGTATGGATGAAATTATAAAAACATGTTCAAGTTAGCAGAACTAGCACTGCATAATTAGAAAAATAAATTTTTCATTACAGTAAAATAACAGTTTTTAGCATATGTTGAAGTAACTTTAAATTTTATTTAAAAAAATATATTACTGCAGCAAAATATGAAAAGAAAAATGTTTAAATGTAAGCTTTGCTGTCATTAATCAAAACAACAGTATATATAAAAGATTATATAAATAATGTGTATATGTGAAACTAAATTGATCTTAAATTTATTCACTTACTGAAAATATTTGAAAATGGGCAGACTTTTTACAGAAAAATAAAATGGCATAGTTGATGTTGAGCAAGTTATCAGAAAAATTTAAATCTCTAAAAAATAAAATATTTATATACTGCAAGACATCAAAGCTTAATTTCTGATGACTGTAAAACAAAATTTGATAGAAATGGTTGATTTTAAGTACTATCTGTTTTTGTTCCATATTATTTTAAATTAAGTTTTTGGTTGTCTTACTGTTGATTATTATTTTATTTAAAAATTTTTTAAACATATACAGTACATTAAATAGTATATGTATAGTTAATACTGTATTTACAAAGAATTATTATAAATTATAAAAATTACATTGTGTTATGGATCTGGGGATTGGAGATATTTTATATTGTGTAATTTGTTTTTAACTTTAATTTAAACCAAAAACAAAAAAGAAACTCTACCAGGAGCATCTATCACAATAGTTTCATGCAAGACTTGTTGACATTTTAGTGCATGTGCTATTAATGAGAATTTAGGCCTGAATTGTCATTGGAGAAAGAAAGAACCTTTCCCAACTTTGTGATATTACAGGATGTAAACCACCAGATGTCATTTCCTGGTAAAAAAATTTTAAAAATATATAAAAAGGACAACAGTGTGAGGAGGATCAAGAAGTGGGGGCTTTAACTAACCATCAGCCATCTATCACTTGCCAACTGCCAAATAAGATCCTTAGTTGACATCTGCCTTCTGCCTAACCTTTAAGTTGTGATATTTTGATCCATGACCATCTGTTGCCAGTCTGTCTTCTAATGGTAATCAGATGATGATTACAATTAGAAGAAAGACTTAAATGACCTATGTCCATACCTTAATTTGGTGTTAACCAGGTATTATATAAACTTGCTTTCAAAATTAAAAAATTATGTTATTCCACTTCTACAAAAATGATAAATTTTTGTAGAACTGGAGATGGGTCGAAACGAAGGCCATGTTTTTCTTCAGTATGAATCATTTTTGAGAGTTGAAATTTTAATCAGTTTATCCTTGAGTGATGATGAGTCGTCCTAGAAAATTTCATCAAGATCAGACAACTCATTCTAGAGTTATAATGTTGACAAGGAATGCATGAAGTCAAGTGTTAGTCGCTTCCTGCACGCATGTGTCATCTAGTGGTCGGAAAATATGATAAGCATTAAAACGGTAATTTTCAAAGGTAAATGTTATTGCTAACTAGATACACAACAAACATAAAGAATCTTTATAGAATAATAAGTTAAAAAAAGTTTTATTGTCAGAACGAGGTGAAGCTGAGCAACGACTAACAATTGACTTCATGCATCCCTTGTCAACATTATAACTCTAGAATGAGTTGTCTGATCTTGATGAAATTTGCTAGGGTGACTCATCATCACTCAAGGATGAACTGAATAAAATTTCAACTCTCAAAAATGATTCATTTTTGTAGAACTGGAGATAGGGGTCAAAACGAAGGTCACGTTTTTCTTCAGTATTAGAGATCAAAATGAGCTGACTAAGACTACGTCCTACATGGCAGCATCTATTTATTGAGCCTATTTATCCAGAGATGAACTTGATCAGTTCCAAATGGCAGTAGAGCTATATCCAACAAACGAGCAAGTTAAACAAAGACTACTTACAATCAACTGGGTGCCCTGTTGCTTATATAGCCTTTGAAAACACTCCAGATATTGCCCTGCCTTTGTCCAAAGATGACTCAGCTCTTGATCTTTCCAAGTATTTGAATCTCTCAGATAATGCCAGAATCATGCTGAAAGTCAACTTATGGGTGCAAGGAGGTCTCTTGTCAATGGTTCACTAGGAACTATATGCTACATTATATATGCTCCTAATGCTTGCTCTCTAGCTCTTCCTGTTTGTTTTAGTGGAATTCGATAGCTATCAGGGACCTTTCATCTATGGCAGGGCTTCTTAAACTATGGGTTGTGACCCCATTTGGGGTCGCGAGATTTTAATGCAAAATATTGAAAATAATTTGTGAGAGTTTGAAAATGGCACGCTTTGTGTCATAGGTTTCGTGAGTTGCACTTTGTGTCACTTCTGGTGCAGCGAGACAACGATTCAGCAACACTAATTGTAGTGTGAACTAGTGTAGTGTTGTTGCTTTTCAGTGTATTCATTTGTCTCTGTTCCATTGTAACACAAGAGTGAACTGGTCAATGGTAGTACACCATTATTGTTTTTGCAAATTTGTATATATCTTTATTTTATATATATATATATATTTGTTTTTTGGTCACGAAAAAATCACAATCATAAATGGGGTTATGAATAAAAAAATTTTAAGAAGCCCTGATCTATGGTAATCTGTTTCCAATAATCCCCATAACACGCTTTTCAAATGGTGGCAGTATATTTTGATCTCATAGGCAATTTCCCCTTACCTTACTCAATAACTATACATAAATCACAGGGATCAACTCTTCCAAAAATCAAAATAGACATAAGTAAAAAAGAGATAGCTATCGGACTTATCTATGTTGCATTCAGTCGAGTGAAAAAAATAACTGACATAGTATTTTTAAACAGTTACAGTAAACATCACTACAAGTCAATCTTTAAGGCCCATAGTGATAGACAGAATTTCATGATACGTTGGCATCGCAATTAATTAATGGCTTATTCTGACCTTATATTTGTACCTTTAAATGATACAACAGAAATCAAATATATTGTTGAGAATGAATGATTCTTTCTCTCTTTTTTCCCTCATAATCTAGAAAATGGAGATGCGAGCAGCCTCACTCTGATTACACGCTGATACAGCGTTACATAACTAGTTTTGTGCTCTTTGTCAGATTTATTTTAATGAAAACTGATAAGACAAGGAAGAAAAACTTGCACTAACTTTCCTATCAATCAGTGTCATTGTTATTACTTCAGACTTTAGCTTTTAAGACTGTCACTGTGTTTTCTTTTTATAGATTAATCTTTGTATTTTGTAAAGTTAATTTAAACATTTTTAGGCAAGTGTTATTAAACTTTTTTTTAACCACAGGTATTACTTACCTACAAATGATTACTTCATTTGTAAAAATGACAAACAAAATACAGCAGTATCTTGATACTCTAACAATTCAGTATTTGAACACAAATTCTGGAACAAATGCTCAGTACTTGACTGAATAGACGTGACCCACTAGAACAAATTTTTGATTAATAACATATTTTTATTTTATCATCCATAAAAATTGTTTATGATAAAAATAAAAAATATGAAAATGTTGCTGATACTTCTGATCAAGATCAACAAAAAAGCTGAGATGACAATGATACTTTGTAAATGAAAACACCCTCATTTAACTAAAATTAATATTAATATGTAATACAGTACTTTTAATTGTGATTATTAATAAATTGTTGATTGGTTTAATAAACGTATTTCTCTAGTAACAAAAAATAACAGTATACTTTTTCTGACTTCTGGAATGTAACCCTATGTTTTGCATTAGTCCTTTGTTTAGTATAGCACTGATTTGCATAACATGGCTTTTTTTGGAGCATAACTACTGTTATACGAGGGATACCTGCATTTATAAATTACAGTAGAATATCGATTATCCGAAACAATTTGGGACTGGGGTTGTTTAGATAACTGATCATTTACGAAAAAATATATTAAACACAAAATTATACTGTCTATATTTTGTGTCACATGTCTTACAAATACATGCCTTACATAAAGTAGTACATTAAAGTAGGCCTATAGTTTAGGTTGACAGGGAGGGGGAGAATGCTTCAGTACCACAGCACTAGGTGAAAATTTGAATTTGTCGATTGAAACGCTTTCAGTTAACCAATGTTTCGGTTGATTGGTATTCGGATAATCGATGCTTTACTGTACTTATATATTTTGAATATCATTGATTATTGCCATTTTGTGACTTAGTGAAGTAAAATCTTTGAATAAATTGTTCTTTCTCAATTGTCCAATTCTGCATATTCTATTTATTTCTATTTTTACATTTAGTATAATCTACATGAGCCTCTATACTATTTCCACTCTATATAGGGTTACTGAGTCTCTAGTAGCAGGTAGAGGCAGTCTTCTATTGCCCATAAGCAGCATGCCTGAGCCAAATGAGACAGAAGTGAAGTATCCAAGTTGATGGAGAGCTGTAAGGATGCTCAATTAGAACAGTGCTCACACTGTGCTGCTATGACCAGTATCTACTACAATCAAGTTCTCAAAGATACAGAAGGTACTGAGGAAGAAATAGTATTGTTTGATCAAAAGGCATCCTGGTTTTTTTCAGGCCAATGCATAACTCTTATGACATTTGAACACCTGCAAAGTCCAAGAACCAGGCTGTAAGACATTGTGCTGTTTTCATTACAGTTCTTCATTCCTAGTGATTGTCACTTTTTTGGTCTCCTTGCTTCTTGGGTAGGCAACATTTTTCTAGTAATATGACTTCTCATCAATTCTGTTCAGGAAACTTTCTAGTTCTGGTTTAGGTCAACTGCTGGGACAAGTGTATCTCTGCATCAAGGAATTATGTAGAAACATAAATTTAGTCCTTTTTTTACTTTACTGTGCTTTTTTTTTACTACACAGAAGGGAAAGTAGTGAAATCATGTCAGATTTGACCATCTGAGTTTTTTACAAATCTCCATGTTTTGAGACCTCCTGAATCCAAAAAAGTCAATAAATGGCAAAAAAATTCCATGGGTGTGTGTATGTGTATGTGTTGGCATCTATTTTGTTTAATATCTCAGGTTGGGGTAAAGATTAATTAAGAAATGAAATTTGGCATGGTGGCTTGCCAAACTGTAGGCCTACTTCATTAATGCTATCAAATTTTGATGGTATGAGGTTGAGAGGGAGGATCATGTATCTCGAGAGGGGTAAGACTTAATGAAGATTTTACTTGTTATTAAGATTTAACTTTTTTATAAAACTTGCCCCTACCCTCAAAATTAAAGTTTTTTGCCATTTTATAGTAATTAAAAATATAAAAAGTTTTCCTCATATCCTTCATTTAACTTCTTGTTTGGATTTGTATTAAAATTAGATTGTTGAAATGACATTTTAATAAAAAATTTTTATAACAAAATTTGATAACAGATGGCACCGTACAGAATTTAATTTTTTGCTAATAATATAAAAGATTTTAAGTCTTAATAATAACAGCTGGAAAAGTTATGCAACTCATTGCTAGATTTTTTTTTTGCAATCAGTTGTTTCATATAGTCAGAGTTTGATTTGACTAATTCTCATATATTGTTCTTTTAATTATATTAGGATTTCATTAAAACATATTTCAAAAGAAAAAATTTCTTCTAATGCTACATATTTTATGAAATATGGGGAATAATTGACAAATCATTTCGTATATACTAATTTATTTGTATACTAATTCAATAAATTCTGAATTCTGAAAAAAATAAAATATCCAAATTGATAAAATTGATCCTCAGCAACTCTATAGTAGTTCTGTTAGGAGGTTCACTGTAATAAGGAAGTGAAAACAAATGTATTAGCCTGCAAACTAGTAACTGACATCATATTAAATTATTAAAATTATCAAATACCAGGACAGTATTTTAAAATTATTTTAGAAAGTTTTTGTAACTTCTTAAAATAACTTTTATTTAATTTTAAGATTAGTTTTATTTATTTTTGTAGTTTCAAATATATGATAGTTTATTGCCAGTTAATAGTAGATTTCTGTGAAGTATATCATAAAATAAGTATACAAAGTATAAACTAAAATATAGGAACTGATGATAACTCAGAGAATCAAGTGATTTGATCAAATGCAAAGGATGAACAAATTACTTTTTCTAAAAGGATGTTTGAAATAAAAGAGAAGGGAAAGAGATTTAGAGGAAGGCTAAGGAAAAGATAGAGAACAGATGAAAGAAAATATACAAAAAGTTGGAAGAGATTGGAGCAGAGTGGAATAATTTCAAGATTCAAATAATAAGAAGAAGAAATGGAAAATATTGATTCAGCTGATAAGGCAAAAAATTGGAACAGTGGACTACATTAAGATAAATCTTTAAAGGGATAAAACAAAACTTTCATTTATTTAGTCTTTAAATACTTTTGTTGTATTCAGTTATTATTTCTTTAGAAATTTTAACAGCTTTTATAAAAGTAATAATTTGCATATTTAAAAAGAATGTAAAAGAATGGAGTAAACATTTTTAGTAAATTATTATATTGATTTATTTTAACCTATATGTTTATTTTGAACCTGTTATATTTCTTAAAGTATTCATAATTGAATATGATATAAATACTTATACTAGAATACTTTGTTTCATGTGTTTAAAGATCTATCAAAATAGATCTTTAAAGACATGAAACAACACCTGTAAAATGGTTTTCATATTTATACAATATTTTGTCTTGATACGATGAATTTTTGTATATTTTTTCTATTACACACACATATTTATGTTCTTAAAATATACAGTAATAAATATTCATTTCATTTATATATACCCTTGTTTAAATTTTTAATTTAAAAATTGTATTATTATTATTATTATAGGTTACATCTGTAAGACTTCCTAGAGAGGGAGGAGGAGAGAGGGGAAGACTACGTGGGTTTGGTTATGCAGAATTTGCTGATAAACAATCACTTATAGAAGCTCTTTCTTTAAATAATGAAGTAAGAAATACTGTTTCTTTTTATTAAGCAGAATGAATTGTACATCTTTAGAAATTTTATTATAAAATATAAATTAATAGACTAGGCTTTTCAATTTTTTTTATATTAATTAATAAGTATTTACTTTTATTTACTCTTAATGTTTTTAGCGATTATTATGTTTAATGAAAATAAATTTTGTAATTAAAAAAAGTTAAAGATTTCTTNTATCAAAACTCATTACATTAGATCTTATTATTAAACCAATAGTAAAAATCTAAATTGTTTTTTAAGCATTTTTGTCACTCTGATTCAATAGCTGACATTGTACTTTGGCACTCATTGCAAATGACAAGCAACTTGCTATGTTTGGTATTTTCTCAATGTGTTTATGAAAGTCAGCCATTTTGAATTAAAATAAACTTAAATTATTTTTATTCATATTCATTATTATATCTATATTATAAATAATAAATGTGGTCACATTATAGTTATTTTTACAATAAAAAAAACTAAATAAATATTTGTAAAATTTAAAAAAAACGTAATTAATACTGTGGGGTGTTAGGACACCCCACTGAAAACTGTTGTTTTTCTCTTACTGGAATTTCTGCAGCATCGTAGTAATTTCTGAGCATGCTCTATACATAAAATCATGAAGCTACTGAAGAGGACACAAATATTTCTTGCGAAATCTATGAATAGTGCAACTTTTAAAACGTTGGGGGTGGCGAAACACCCCACTGCACTAGCCCAGGGTTAAGAAAGATAAATGAAAACATCATAATTTTGAGAATCAATGAGCAACATGATGGTAAGTGGTATGAGTTGTCAATCCCAATGAATTAGAGAACAATGTATTAACTTAAAATGGCAAATGCAAAAAGGGTGCATTTGTTTACTTCAATATTAAATGATATCCTACATATTTTTAATGGAGATACAGATTCATGTTATTTGAAAAAAGGTGAAAGTATAATGAATACAAATTATATTAATCAGATTTCAAGAAAAGAATTTGGTAAATATTATTATTGTATTGTGATTGTAACCTCCAGCATTTTTCCTACCTTATAAAATAATTTTATTTTTATAAAGAAAACTCAACAATTGTAATTGTAAATGATTACAAATGTGAGAAACTGGGTGATTGGTGGATACTGGTTTACACCCTGCTTTGCTTGGCAACAGTCTGGCGAAGACTGCTCAGTTTGTCACTGGATGGTTGACCTGAGTGACGGAGGTGTGATAAGTCTGTCAATAGGGTGTTTGCATCTAATAAGTCCACATGAGAGCAGATTAAACAACAAAAATCACAATTTAATGAACTAACTTAAAGCATACAAGATTACAGACAGATATATGCAATTTATAATGTCTGATACTAGATTTATGGACTAAAATATCAACTATATACTAATTGTCCTTAAATGCTAAAAGATCAAGAGAGAGAGAGAGTTTACAAACATTTTGAGAGGAAGTGATGATGTCTTCTACTTTCGTTGAGGCGTATTGGTAGGGAGACTTCCATGGAGATAGCATTTGGCCTAGAGTATGGTGGGATGGGAGTTGTAGCCATTTGTCTCTATGGTGGAGTCTGCCCCGAGGCTTGAGTTTGAGCCCCTTTTATCCTCCGGAGGGGGCGACTCTTGCCCCAGTGACTCACATTGTTGTGGTTCTAAGTTTGAGCCATGTCCTGGTCCAGCCAGTATGTCCTGACTCTCCATATAAGGCAACAAATTTGAAGTTCTTAGACATTATGAACAGGGTGTTGTGACTCTTCTTACTCATAATTTATCTGACTTGACAGTTTCCTATCATTAATAATTAGATGTTTGATGAGGGTTATGAAATAAGTCGAAACATTTTAAAGATTGTTGATTCTTGACAATATTTGATCCTTTGTTTATCTCTCAGATCCTCATGTGATGGAAATATGAGGTGGTGGGAAAAACTGGGGTTTTTCCACTGCATATTCTTTTAACTAATTACTCTACTTACTTAACTGCACCCCCTTCAGAATCTCACACAAATGTTCATGTACTATATCTTTTCTCAACAACTTTGACATTAAGTGAGGACTTGCTGTATATTTGTTTTTGAATGATTACATTTTTATATAACAGTACAGTAGATTTTCCCACATTCAAACTAATGTGGGCAGGAGTGATTCAGATGTTAGAAAAATCTAGATAAGAGGGAGAGAATTTTTAAATAAGACTGTAACATATGTGCCTAATGTATGTAAAAAAAAAATGTTTCTTTTTGACAATTACAAATAATTTTGAAAGTACTGTGTTACAGTAGTATTGTTTTACTCAATTTGCTGACAAGCTGCTATGAACTCCAATGATCCATCATTATCATGTCAGCAGAGTGATTGATGCATTGTGCCCTTTTGCAAACTTCAATGCAACTTTAATAAAAGAATTAAAAAATATATACACTGCAATATGGAAAAATAAGATTCAAAGTAGTGTACAATATTTTTGAAAATTTTTGGTTGCCTTTGATCAGTCTGGATAAATAAGGGAGAGTCCAGATATGGAAGTGTCTACTGTATTTATGATAAGCATTCAGTTTATAACTCAGAAATATTTGGTATTCACATGTAAACTGAAAATGAATTACTATTTTTTAATGTAATTTGTTATATACTAGGACCTAAATATATTTGTATAAATGTACAATATATATGATAAATAATTTTTGAAAATATTATCTTGCTCTAAAAGTAAATAAAAAAGTTTTATTTTAACAGACATTAAAAAACAGAGCAATTAGAGTAAATCTTGCTGGTGATCATGGTAAGTCATTTTTCTCTCAATTTTTATACAATTTAATAATATAATATTCTGTTTAATATATCTTATGTGTGCATATTGTTAGCTCTACACAAACTGTATTTTCTATTTTTGAATGTCTGTTTCTGTGGTAACTCATTTAAATTCAAATTTTGCACAAACAATGTATTAACTTTTAATGGTTAACCATTAACCATTACATTTATAATCATTTCTTAATGTCTTTCAAAGTTATTATCATATTATTTATCTGCAATTTTATGTGAACTATTAAAGTTTAAGGATGGTCCTAATAAAGCTTTGAAGTTGAATGAAGTTGCTATAGAAATGCATGTTCCACCAATGAAAATTGTGTTGTTTTAGTTTTTGTCATTGTTGTTCAGTAAAATTGATAACTTTCTCACAAAAATTTAATGAACAAAAATAATTAATTTTTTTCCCATCATTTGATGAATCTTAACAGTGTTGCATTTTACAGTGTACTCTGGTTAATTTTAAGCTGGGCCAGGTAGTGTCAGATGTAATTGATTTCTTTTGAATGAAAGTTTATAATAATAAGCTTTATTGTACTTATTTTGTACAAAGGGGGGAATTATTATAAAATTATATTTTGAATACAGCATGAAGAAATTCACAGGAAAGTATTATCTCTGGTGGATGATATTTTCAATCATGAATTAAATATACAGATTTTTTAGATACTGTAGTTCAAACCAAATTCAATTAGCAAAATTTATAATTTAGGTTTGCATTGCTGAGTAGTAAGACTATAAGTTAATATTACAAATATAGTGCAGATAATTGAGATATTTGATGGAATGAGGTAACTAAGGTTATTTGGATCTCTTATTCATTTATTTGTTGTTTTTGATTTTCTTGAGTGGGTTTTATGTAATATGAAACTCCTGTAAAACAAGCACACAAATTTCCCATTATTCTTTGCTGATTTGTTAACACACATTACTAAATGGTGCTAATTTTCAATATGGAAGCCTCTATGTGAAATGTGTTCAGCTATGTGTAAAGGGATTTTTTTCTTTTTACTAAAACAATATGGATTCTTCTAATAGCAACAAAATTAGAAGCAAACAGGTAACTAAAGGACAGAAAATAACTTTGTAATTTAAATATTTGGAAAGATAATGAAAGAAAATGTCAAATATATGTAGAAAAATCTTGCATGTCTTCTTCCAGAAAGGAATTTCAGTAAATTAAAGCTTGTTGTAAAAAGAAATGCTTCATTTTATTAAGAAGAATTCCTGCTATGTTCCAAAATCTATGAAACCCAAATTCCACCTTAGAAGAATAGAAGTTTCTGTTTTGTGAAATTTTGGAACATAGGTGATAAATCAATTTAAGATGCAATATTGTTTTGAAGCATGCCCATGAATGAACCTCAAAAGCATAAAACAGTTTGCAAAATTAAACGAGAAGTAAACTGAGCAAAGTGAAATTCAGGATAGTTTATAGTTAGTTAGGAGACAGCTAGAGATATAAGTGGAACAGTTGTTAGTATAATGAATTAAGCAAATAGTCACATTTAATAACATGAAAACAGGGTGTATCTTTCTTGTTCATGATTAAATGGAACAAAAGTATGCAAAGAAAAAAGCAACTTTGCTTTTTATGGGTAAAGTTTTATAGTTCATGGAAAGTGGGACTTAATTGAAAATAGTTTGTTGGATATACAACAGTTTATTAACATAATTAAAATATGTTTTAAATTTATCTTGTGTTTTGAAGTAGCTTACATAATTTTAAGTGAAAATCAATTTTTTTTTTATCATTTTTGGCAGGTACAGATTGTATTATAATAATTATTATTAAATACAGTGACAGTGAAACCTGCTAATGTGACCACCAAAGGGATCAGCTGAAAGTGGTCACCTTATGCAGAAAGAGGGATTTAGGTACTTTTGAATGAAATCACTTAAGTAGAAATAAGCAAAAGGTTTGATTATATGAAATTTAATATTAAATNTACACCATTATTGTTTTTGCAAATTTGTATATATCTTTATTTTATATATATATATATATTTGTTTTTTGGTCACGAAAAAATCACAATCATAAATGGGGTTATGAATAAAAAAATTTTAAGAAGCCCTGATCTATGGTAATCTGTTTCCAATAATCCCCATAACACGCTTTTCAAATGGTGGCAGTATATTTTGATCTCATAGGCAATTTCCCCTTACCTTACTCAATAACTATACATAAATCACAGGGATCAACTCTTCCAAAAATCAAAATAGACATAAGTAAAAAAGAGATAGCTATCGGACTTATCTATGTTGCATTCAGTCGAGTGAAAAAAATAACTGACATAGTATTTTTAAACAGTTACAGTAAACATCACTACAAGTCAATCTTTAAGGCCCATAGTGATAGACAGAATTTCATGATACGTTGGCATCGCAATTAATTAATGGCTTATTCTGACCTTATATTTGTACCTTTAAATGATACAACAGAAATCAAATATATTGTTGAGAATGAATGATTCTTTCTCTCTTTTTTCCCTCATAATCTAGAAAATGGAGATGCGAGCAGCCTCACTCTGATTACACGCTGATACAGCGTTACATAACTAGTTTTGTGCTCTTTGTCAGATTTATTTTAATGAAAACTGATAAGACAAGGAAGAAAAACTTGCACTAACTTTCCTATCAATCAGTGTCATTGTTATTACTTCAGACTTTAGCTTTTAAGACTGTCACTGTGTTTTCTTTTTATAGATTAATCTTTGTATTTTGTAAAGTTAATTTAAACATTTTTAGGCAAGTGTTATTAAACTTTTTTTTAACCACAGGTATTACTTACCTACAAATGATTACTTCATTTGTAAAAATGACAAACAAAATACAGCAGTATCTTGATACTCTAACAATTCAGTATTTGAACACAAATTCTGGAACAAATGCTCAGTACTTGACTGAATAGACGTGACCCACTAGAACAAATTTTTGATTAATAACATATTTTTATTTTATCATCCATAAAAATTGTTTATGATAAAAATAAAAAATATGAAAATGTTGCTGATACTTCTGATCAAGATCAACAAAAAAGCTGAGATGACAATGATACTTTGTAAATGAAAACACCCTCATTTAACTAAAATTAATATTAATATGTAATACAGTACTTTTAATTGTGATTATTAATAAATTGTTGATTGGTTTAATAAACGTATTTCTCTAGTAACAAAAAATAACAGTATACTTTTTCTGACTTCTGGAATGTAACCCTATGTTTTGCATTAGTCCTTTGTTTAGTATAGCACTGATTTGCATAACATGGCTTTTTTTGGAGCATAACTACTGTTATACGAGGGATACCTGCATTTATAAATTACAGTAGAATATCGATTATCCGAAACAATTTGGGACTGGGGTTGTTTAGATAACTGATCATTTACGAAAAAATATATTAAACACAAAATTATACTGTCTATATTTTGTGTCACATGTCTTACAAATACATGCCTTACATAAAGTAGTACATTAAAGTAGGCCTATAGTTTAGGTTGACAGGGAGGGGGAGAATGCTTCAGTACCACAGCACTAGGTGAAAATTTGAATTTGTCGATTGAAACGCTTTCAGTTAACCAATGTTTCGGTTGATTGGTATTCGGATAATCGATGCTTTACTGTACTTATATATTTTGAATATCATTGATTATTGCCATTTTGTGACTTAGTGAAGTAAAATCTTTGAATAAATTGTTCTTTCTCAATTGTCCAATTCTGCATATTCTATTTATTTCTATTTTTACATTTAGTATAATCTACATGAGCCTCTATACTATTTCCACTCTATATAGGGTTACTGAGTCTCTAGTAGCAGGTAGAGGCAGTCTTCTATTGCCCATAAGCAGCATGCCTGAGCCAAATGAGACAGAAGTGAAGTATCCAAGTTGATGGAGAGCTGTAAGGATGCTCAATTAGAACAGTGCTCACACTGTGCTGCTATGACCAGTATCTACTACAACCAAGTTCTCAAAGATACAGAAGGTACTGAGGAAGAAATAGTATTGTTTGATCAAAAGGCATCCTGGTTTTTTTCAGGCCAATGCATAACTCTTATGACATTTGAACACCTGCAAAGTCCAAGAACCAGGCTGTAAGACATTGTGCTGTTTTCATTACAGTTCTTCATTCCTAGTGATTGTCACTTTTTTGGTCTCCTTGCTTCTTGGGTAGGCAACATTTTTCTAGTAATATGACTTCTCATCAATTCTGTTCAGGAAACTTTCTAGTTCTGGTTTAGGTCAACTGCTGGGACAAGTGTATCTCTGCATCAAGGAATTATGTAGAAACATAAATTTAGTCCTTTTTTTACTTTACTGTGCTTTTTTTTTACTACACAGAAGGGAAAGTAGTGAAATCATGTCAGATTTGACCATCTGAGTTTTTTACAAATCTCCATGTTTTGAGACCTCCTGAATCCAAAAAAGTCAATAAATGGCAAAAAAATTCCATGGGTGTGTGTATGTGTATGTGTTGGCATCTATTTTGTTTAATATCTCAGGTTGGGGTAAAGATTAATTAAGAAATGAAATTTGGCATGGTGGCTTGCCAAACTGTAGGCCTACTTCATTAATGCTATCAAATTTTGATGGTATGAGGTTGAGAGGGAGGATCATGTATCTCGAGAGGGGTAAGACTTAATGAAGATTTTACTTGTTATTAAGATTTAACTTTTTTATAAAACTTGCCCCTACCCTCAAAATTAAAGTTTTTTGCCATTTTATAGTAATTAAAAATATAAAAAGTTTTCCTCATATCCTTCATTTAACTTCTTGTTTGGATTTGTATTAAAATTAGATTGTTGAAATGACATTTTAATAAAAAATTTTTATAACAAAATTTGATAACAGATGGCACCGTACAGAATTTAATTTTTTGCTAATAATATAAAAGATTTTAAGTCTTAATAATAACAGCTGGAAAAGTTATGCAACTCATTGCTAGATTTTTTTTTTGCAATCAGTTGTTTC